CGACGTGCGCCATCGGCGACGGCGCCACCACCTCCGAGCTCAAGCTGCTGCAGCTGCTCGACCGCAACGACACGATCCGCGGGGACCCTCTCCTTGACGCCTCCGAAATCGAGGGTAATGGCGCGGGAAGTGGCGTCACCGTCTCGCACGCCAACAAGGTGGAGATCGTTGCCCGCTCCGTCGCCATCTTGGAGGAGGGCCAGACGCTTGATGAGCTGGCCGCCAACGTGACCGCGGAGACCGAGCAAAAGATCACACAGCTCCGTGAAAATACCAAGCTCCAAGGCAACTTGGCCTTTACCAGCCTCGTCATGTTCCCTCCGCGTCCGCCACCATCGTCGCCGCCGAGGCCGCCTCCGTCCCCGCCGCCACCCACCCCACCGCCGTCCCTACCGCCGTCACCGCCTCCACCCTCGCCTCCGCCGCCCTCGCCCCCGCCGCCGCCCTCCGCCTCGCCGTCGCCTCCGCCTCCCTCCGCCTCGCCGTCGCCGCCGCCTCCCTCCGCCTCGCCGTCTCCGCCGCCTCCGTCCGCGTCGCCGTCGCCGCCGCCGCCGTCCGCGTCGCCGTCGCCGCCGCCTCCCTCCGAGTCGCCGTCGCCGCCACCTCCGTCCGCCTCGCCGTCGCCGCCGCCTCCGTCCGCGTCGCCGTCGCCGCCGCCGCCGTCCGCGTCGCCCTCGCCGCCGCCTCCCTCCGCCTCGCCGTCGCCGCCGCCTCCCTCCGCCTCGCCCTCGCCGCCACCTCCATCCGCCTCGCCGTCGCCGCCGCCTCCCTCCGCCTCGCCGTCGCCGCCGCCTCCCTCCGCCTCGCCGTCGCCGCCGCCTCCCTCCGCGTCGCCGTCGCCGCCGCCTCCCTCCGCCTCGCCGTCGCCGCCGCCTCCGTCCGCCTCGCCGTCGCCGCCGCCTCCCTCCACGTCGCCGTCGCTGCCGCCTCCCTCCACGTCGCCGTCGCCGCCGCCGCCCTCCGCCTCGCCGGCGCCGCCGCCTCCGTCCGCCTCGCCGTCGCCGCCGCCGCCCTCCGCCTCGCCGTCGCCGCCGCCTCCCTCCGCTTCGCCGTCGCCGCCGCCACCCTCCGCCTCGCCGTCCCCGCCGCCTCCCTTCGCCTCGCCCTCACCGCCGCCTCCCTCCGCTTCGCCGACGCCGCCGCCTCCCTCCGCCTCGCCGACCCCGCCGCCTCCCTCCGCCTCGCCCTCACCGCCGCCTCCGTCCGCATCGCCCTCGCCGCCGCCTCCCTCCGCGTCGCCGTCACCGCCGCCTCCCTCCGCACCGACGTCACCGCCGCCTCCCT